ACGCGCATTCACTTGGATCGAAGTGTTCTGCTATCAATGGATGAGAAAAGTTTAAATAGCTTTTGAATCGCTTTGACATGACATACTTGTCCTCTCCCCTGCACGTCTCAACTGCCCCATTCACCTTTCCATTCATGTCAATGTCCCATAGAGGTGAAAGATCCGTTTGAATCACGATGTCATCATCCAGGAAAACTATCTTATCTAGACTGGGAAATAGCTGAAAAGAAAGTCATACTTCTCAGTATAATCAATCATTACTAGTCATCAGGAAATCAGGGACGGATGTTACATTTATATATACAATAACAATTACTACGTCTCAGTCTCAAACAAGTTGGGATTGGATATATGGATGGTACTTGTATACATACAATAACAATTATGCCTCAATCTCAAACAAGTTGGGGTCGGATACATGGATGTTACATGTATATATATGTAGTAGAATTCAGGGCTTACCTCGGGCAAATGTATCCTTATGTGGTTCATCAGTGAGTTATATTTGGGACTGAGGGCTTGCAATTTTGCTGCAATGATTTTAGGTTTCTCAGTTTTGTTTGCTACAATTGCTGATGACCCTCCTCTGAACTGTGACCTGGCTTTTTGGTCTTTCTCCATAGCTTCCATAACCGGGACTCTCCCCTTCGTGAACCAATCGAAATGATGCAACCCTTTAACCTCAATGACAGCAGGTGTTAAAGGATGCAACGAAAACCAAGCTTGCATAGGTGCGTATGTTTTCCTATCTGTGATAATGTGAAGAACTAACTTATCAGGGCCGATGAAATTCCTCACGAGTGATGATGCAACAACAGAAGCAGCAATAATGTTGTCAGAAGCAAGGACGAAATGGAAGTAGGAGTTATCAACAAGAGCGGGGACAAGCTCAGGCGATGGTAACTGATGACGGGCGTTGGAATTGGTGGAATGCTCATGTGCTAGCTTGAGAGCAAGGCAGTGCAGCTGTTTCGGGATGCTACTAGATGCCACATGCCGATACAAATATTCTTGGATTTTGGCAGTTCTTGTCCTCTCTTCTAGCTGAGTGACCTGCAAAAAGAATAGAAAAAAATCAGGCCTTGACCTGGACACAAGGCACATTATGAGAAACTGTTTAAACTAAGATTTCTAGTAGGATTCCCTTTTGTGGATCTAAAGGCCTTGTTACGGGTTTACGTGCTCCCAACAGCTTTTGCCCAAATTCTGTATATATATTTAGAAGTTTACCAATTATCCATTAATATTTGACTCTGACAACAGTTAGTACTGTGTTATTAACTTGAGGTCGTTGTAGGAACTCATAAACCTCAAATCCTGGATCTGCCTCTGGCCTATAGTACCTAAATATGGACATCTTATTGCCTTTTTCTTCACTACTAGTTCTTTGTCAACAGAAGATTGTTGCCTATGACATAATGTGCCACTTTAAATTATACATATTATTCCTATATATGATGTAGAAGGCATGATAAGAGTAAATATACCATAGCTTTAAGCTTGACAGCAAAGGTTTTCGCGTCTGGTCTTCCATCCTTCATTTCTGCAATAAATTCTTCTAATGTTTGAGGAGATTCAGGCCTTGTTTGTGTATCAGTTTGGTCTGAAGGTTCCTCCAATACTCGGTATATCACCTCAGGAACCTAACAAATGCAGAATAATATAAGAAACAAGACTATACAATTCTAATATTTGGTACTAAAACAAGCACACCACTAAAGAAATATCGTCACTATTCGATAGGGGAATGTCACAGTATTATGCACAAGGGAAAAGATACACGACTCAGAAGCGTACAGTTGATTCAAGACGTTTCCTCAAAATCCTTGGTCCAATTTTTTTTCCCAAGCAACCTGAATCCAAATTGCAGAACAATTTTCAGCCTTTCTGTTCATTAAAGTAAACAAAAGGAGGAACAATATTGAGCAGCATTGTTCTGATCATCTTTAACTCTCTAAAACTTATATGTGTTTTCTATTTCTTTCCATTGTAACACGTACATTTCACGCGATAAACTTAGCATTACTTCTACTATATGTTGTAAGAGATAGTGCTTAGTAGAATACAAACTTCACATATATGTTCCAAATCCTGTATACAGAATTAAAGAGACAGAGAAGTACCTAAGGTCGAACATTTTCGTTCTCCATCAATAGTATCTATAGCTGTTAACACGAAGACAAACCGGAGAAGGAATGTAAGGAACAGAAGGCAGTAGAACACCATACGATATGATAATCTTTTGGAGCCAACTTTAACTTTAATGAACTCCTTGAAACCTTTAGCAGGCAGAACAGTAACATGCCTTAAACTTGGTGATATGTGCAGCTGCATTGCTTTTAACATTCAATAACAAAGTCAAAAATTGATCAATCTGCCCAAAAATAGGCAGAAAGAAAAGTTCTTGAAATTTTGCTATTAACAAAAATGTTAGTACTTTTGGCCTAATGATTAATTAGGCAAGTAATAACTCAGAGAAGAAGTTGAGTAGAATGCAGAATACCCCTGTAGAGATATGATGTAAAAGGAAGTACTAGGAGGGGGTGGGGGGGGGGGGGG